ATTTTTTCAGTTCGGGCTAAACTGTTCCAGGGAAGATCTAAACTTTTGAATAGCAGGCAGAAAATTAAAAATCTAGGCCCAAAATTGTTAATGGAAGGTCAAAACTTGTAAATATTGGGCAGGAAATAAACAATAGTCGGCCCAAAATTGTCAACGGAAGGTCAAAACTTTTTAACGGAAGGCCAAAATTTGTAAATAGTGGGCAGGGAAATTAAACAATAGTCGGCCCAAAATTGTCAACGGAAGGTCAAAAATTTTTAACGGAAGGCCAAAATTTGTAAATAGTGGGCAGGGAATTAACAATAGTCGGCCCAAAATTGTCAACGGAAGGTCAAAACTTTTTAACGGAAGGCCAAAATTTGTAAATAGTGGACAGGGAATTAACAATAGTCGGCCCAAAATTGTCAACGGAAGGCCAAAAGTTGTAAATTTTAAACAGGCGCTAAAGGGTGTTTAAGGGGAAATAAACCAGATTGTGTAAACAGTTTTATTATTCTTTACAGCGGCCCCCATGCCCGTAGCCGAACAAAGCGCAGGGTCCGCTGGATTTTTTTTTACTCTTTTTCCCTGTTGGCTGTGCCTGGCCAACTTTGTCCTTCAGCCGGGCGCGAAAAAACCTTCTTTTCTCCCTGTTCTCTTAGCCCTTAGCTCCCCAGCAACATATCGCTGTAAGAAACAGTAATTAAATCCGCTTCGGCAATACCAAAGGCCTGCAGGTAGAAATCGCACTGGGCTTTCAGTTCCGCTACAGACAGCGGGGCGTATTTATTGCTGGCTTCTATCTCTACAAAACTGCCCAGTTGGGCCAGGGTATCCAGGTGAAACTTTACGTTGGCGATAAAGTATATCTCCCGCTGCTTTTCAACCACCACCTTAATACCTGTAGCCGCAGTAAGGATGGATTTTAAAGCCGCTGCATCCGGCACGGCCACCAGGCTAAAATTGGACTGCTTTGGACCAGCCTTGTTTTCCCTTTCGTAATATATCAGGTTATTTTCAATATTACCCTCCCGCAGTTTCAGCCGGCCTTTTACGGTATTGAAGTAAGTATCGGTCTGTAAATCGGTTCCCTTGTATTCAGCATTATTTTCCAGCAGGTATTTTCTAATACCAGTGGCGTTACCGGTTCGTGCTT